TGGGTTCACAATTATAAGCCCAAACCAGGCCACAAAAAATATTATGGCGGCATAAATTTAGACCCATTACAAAAAAAACCCAAGAGTCAAAAAAAATAAAAAGAAAAACGGGAGCATCGTTCTGCTCTGCAATCTCTCAATTTAGGGTTCCGTTTCCGACTCCGACTCAGAGCTTGAACTAGATTCCGTCTCTCCTCGTGCAGCCTTCATTTATGTCCCCTTCAAGGTCACTCCAAATCGATCCCGGATTCGTCTAATTCCTCCGTCCTTCAATTGATCAATTCGTGTTATAGGGTTCTTTCTCCATCAATTATGTTCATATCTTCTTCTTCCTTTATGCCTTGCGTCGGAATTTCCCAAAATCTCCGTGTCTTTGGCCCTGGTTTGAATCCGTTTGCTCCTTATTGCGTTGCTCATCACTCCATCACTTCTCGCTAATTCCCTCTCTCTCTCTCTCTCTCTCTCTTTCTCTCTCTCTTGTGTTTTCAATATCTATCATGTAAATCACCCATTGCCGGTTGTCGTTGTCGTTGGTGTTCTTCTTCCAGGGACTTTGCTTTTCAGATTCTTCTCCACGAATTTGTTATCGTTTGTCAATTCTGGTGAAATTCGAGAGTTTTGGAGAAACATGTAATTGGGTGTTTTATCAATACTGGTGAAAGGGGCGTTTTTTTTTTTTTTTCTTGTTTGTATTCGGGTTTTGGTTGAGTTTTAGAACCTGGGTATTGGTGTTTTGGTGAATAAGCGGGAAAGTATGCCCCAAGAGCAGCCTTTACGGAGAACCTTGTCCAGAAAACGGTCCATGAGATGTGGGGTTGATACGGATGATAGAGGTTGGACTCTGCTTCACATAGGAGCAAGAAAAGGTGATCTCAAAGTGGTATGCACGATGCTCTTAAGCTTTATATTTCCAGTTTATTGTTTATCAGCACTAGTGTTCTATTTTTCAAGTTCAATTTCTTTCTGGTACCATTCATTCTTACAATCCCACCTTAGGCCCTTAGCCTTCCATATTTACCAAAAAGATTGATAAATTAGATTTCATCTCTGCATTTATTATGAGGTGGAAACCAACGTAATAGGCATGAATATTTATAGGAATTCATTCCCTTAGTTCAGGAAATACAATGGAAGAATATGACAATCCATATATAGAGAAAACCGTAAAGCTCACTAAAGTTTAGAGCCTTTGATGGAGTGGCTTCGACCGTTTGGTGTTTGGCAACATCCATCAAAAGTGTTTTTCATGTAGATTACTTTGCTTTTTCAGTTAGTTGTTTGGGCTTTTCATCTGCTTTTTTTCCTTTTAAACTTTATGGTCTTCCTGCATATTCCCTTAAACGCTTTGTCTATCAAAAGATTTATACTTTGTGGTTGGAGGTTGTTGATTTAAGGTTCTTTGCAACAGGTTAAGCGACTCCTAGATGAAGGAATGGATGTAAACGTGGCTGCATGGGGGCCTAAGTCGAAAGGGGTGACCCCACTCCATCTTGCTGCTGAGGGTGGCCATCTTCAAGTTATGGATGAACTGCTTGAACGTGGAGCTGACATCGATGCTAGAACTAAGGGTGCTTGTGGCTGTGAGTATCCTAATTCACATGCTCTTTCCTGTCTGTTTCCTTTCTGCAGAAATAATAGTGAGGAAGAACCCTTTAAAGCAGTGACATTTGTTTTGCAATTTGCATAAGTCTAACCATATTTCTCTTTCAAGTCTTTAATTGAAGCCTTAAACCCACTGTTCCCTGTAGTTGAAAAACCTTTACTCTCAATACGTTGCCTCCTCACATTAGAATCCTCTTCCTATTAATAGGAAAACATATCCTTTCAAAGGATGTGAATTTCACATGCGTTTATGGTGAACATTGAAACTGTATAAACAGCGGGAAAACATTGTATGGTTAAACAGGATACATGCACACAACCAAAAGATGAGATTTCTCCTTATGCTTTATCTGGCACTGACACTTTCATCCATCTTCTTCTTTTCTTCTTCTTCTTCTTCTTTTTTTTTTTTTTTTTTTTTTTTTTTTTTTATAATAATTAAAAACCAGGGACTCCACTTCATGCTGCAGCCAAGGAAAGGAAGAGAGAGGCAGTCAAATTCCTGGTAGAGAATGGGGCATTCTTGCCGGATGACATCAGTGACTGCAGATTCAATCCACCACTCCATTACTGCCCTGGTCTTGAGTGGGCATATGAGGAGATGAAGCGTCTTCAAAGGGATAACTCATCATCAGGCGAGGCATCTTACAGCTCTGAAAGTTAATCTCGTTTGGCCAGCATGGTTTCTCATCACATCCCTCTTATTGCATGTGGGTGTTTGCCATGTTATCCTTGGATAATTGGCTGAAATAAGAGCACGTATTGTGAATACTAGGGTTCTCATATTTGTGTTCCATAACACTTGTTCAGTTACCTCTTGCGCTTCAGTGATGTTTTCATGTGTGTAACATCAAAGCTCTCTGCTTCTAATTGTTGCATCTCCAAACGTTCTGAGATTTGGCCAGGGACGGATTCAAGGTGGAGCAGCAAGATCCATTGCCTTGGATTCTGCAAAATCATATTACAATAAAAGTCATCTTTACAAGTTGTAAATTATATGCCCAATCTTCCTTTAAATTCACTCTCTTACAAATTTCCTGAATATGTACAAGTCTTTTGCTCGTTTGGTTTGTCCATGTAAAGGTAATTAATAGTTGATAAATAAAGTTTTGATTAATATGATTGTGGTTTTTAATTTATAATTACTTACTGAGTATAAATTTTAAAAATTAATATTTAAAATATCAAATTTAATTAATTATAAAAATTTTTAATTTTATTTTAGAACTTCTAAATATTTAAAAAGCAAAATAAAAAATTTAAAATCGCAATTACTATATTAAACAGAACATAAAAGTAATGGTTTTCCAAGTGCATATTCAGTTGAGAAAGGTTGTCCCTCAAATAGCTTATTTTGTTTAGGATGACATTTCACACCTCCATGTTCCCTAGGTGAGTGACCAACTGCTCGTGGCCCAAGTCCCCTTTTGTGACTTTTTTTTTTTTTTTTTAATGTAATTTCCTTCGTCACTTTAATATTTCCAAACAAATAGTTGGTGCAAGGATGAATGTCAGTATGCCATATATAATTCAATAATCCTATATTTATAATATCATCTAAAATTAAAAATTTATTAATATAATTGGTTAAATAGACCAAATATTTACAAATTATGAGTGAATTTTTAAATAAAATTAATTATATAATAAACATTATAAATTAAAATATTGTAATGTTACTGGATATTATAAATATATTATTTTTTGTATACAATTATAATGAAAATTGTTTGCATTATAATGAAAATTGGATAATGACAAATCTTCACTTTCCAATATAAGTAGTTAAAAATAATTTTAAAACATATCTACTACCAAATGTCAACGATCTAAGTAATTCAGTGATAATCTCTTTTCACTGAAAATAAAAAATATTAAATTCGAATCACATGATATACGAATGGAGAGAAATAAAGAATGAAAGACAATTGTCATATATTTATATATATTAATAAAAAATATAATTTTATAAATTAAATTTATTATTCAAGCTTATAACCATTATTTTAAAAAAATTAATTTTTTTAATATATCTATCTTATGTATGGTGTGCCAGTAAACATTGTTTGCAGAAAAAATAATCTGAAAATTGATCCCATGACACCTTACCATAGATTAAAAATAAAATAAAATAAAATAAGGGGCCAGCAGTCAAATATCCCAACGGGTCATCCTGGGCAACACATGAACTGCTACCGCTTCGAATCCCCGAGGCCGCTCCACCACCCACAGCCTCGGGGGCGCCACCACTACATCCACCACCACAATCTCTCCATCGCCGCAAACAATGCACACTCTACCACCTCCGGCGGCCATTTGCTTTGCCCCTTTAAGCCTCTCTGATTCCATTATATCCTCCCATGAATCCATCTCTGCGTCATACTTTCTCACTACACCATCTCTCTCGTCCACTACATACATAACCTCCTCGTCCATGGCCGCCACCGGTCCTCGCCACCCGATTAACATCCCCTTTGGCATCTCTTCCCATAAATCTTTCTCCACATCGTAAACGATGTGTTCCTTGGCTGCGTCCCCCTTTACATTCACCATATATAGCTTCCCTCTCCAACAGATAGCATCAATGGCGTCTCTGCTGAATTTCCCGTCCTTGAGTCGTCTCATCTTCTCCCACTTCCATCTTGGCTGATGATTTCCGTGGAAAGTCTTATTGGGTTGCAATTGCAAGTCCCATTTCTCCAACGACCTGGCAACATCAGTGGAGAAATGAGAACCAATTCCACTAGCGACATATACCGCGCCGCGAAACGCCCCTGCCGCGCACCATCGGCGTGGAGTGTCGAGCGGAGGACCGAAGGTCCAAAAGCGGGAAATCGGACTGAAGATTAAAGGGCATGAAAGAGCGGGCAAAAAATCATGGGTGGAAGCAGCTAGGAGGATGAGATGACCCGAGACGGAAACTGATTGGATAGGAAGGTTCCGGGACAAGAAAGAGGGATGACGGAGGAGGAGGCGGAGAGGCGGGTCTGGAGGCGGTGGAGGAAGAGGGTCCCACTTGGAGGAGATAGGATCAAAGCTAGAGAATTGGATGGAATTTGAGGAACACTGTTCCGTAGAAAACAAAGTATACAGAGACAAGAAAGGAGGAAAGGAAGAAGAATAGAGTACTCGCCGCCATGAGCGGCAAACGGAGTAGAGCAAGGAGGGATGGACATGGGAGAGGCAGAGTTGGGCTATAGTATCAGGAAGACCGGGTATAAGTGGTGGCTGCCGGTGGTGGTTAGTTATTTTTTGGCGCTTGGCCGGCGGGTTGGCCATGACCAAGGAAAGGGAGGAAGAAAGGAATCAAGTATTGAAACGGACCAGGTGAAGACTTGAATCTTGTCCCTTGCGTTGTTTCAAAGATAAGGGAAATAAGCATCAATGGTGGGGAAAACAGAAGTGAAATGCAAAAAAATAAAAATTTTGGCGCTTTCTTCATTTATTTTCCTTATAGGAGTAGTTGCCAATTATAAAAACTGCTTTGCTTTTAGGTATTGAAGAAGGAAGCAGTAGGCAGTCCCTCGTTATTTAAATTTTAAACTGCTTGTGCTTTGGCTATTAAGGATTTTTTTTATTTTAATGAAAACTTTGGGTATTAAGTTGACAAGAATATATTTTGTTGGTTGGAGTTATATTAAATTGTAAAATATAAATTATTAAATGAATAAGTTTTAATACTCTGTACAGGTTTGTTTTAATATTTTATCTAAAAATGTAAATTTTTATTCTTTTTATTTCAAAATATAAGTCATTTGATAGTTTTTTTTACATATATTTAAGTCATACTTTTCTATAGTACATAAATGATAATTAAGTTTTTTTATCAAATAAAATCACTTAACATGAATTATGTATAAAAAAAATCTCAATTATTATTCATGTACTATAAGAAAATATTACTTAAAGTTATATAAAAAAATAGTCAAACAACTTATATTTTGAAATAGAGGCGCAATTCTTAATTAATTTTTATATAATTTGATTGATTTTAATTAATGATTTAATTATTTTTAAGATAATAAATAATAAAAAAACTTACTAATATAACATAATACAACACAATTCAATAATGAGACAAAGTCAAAGTCTTTTTTTTTAAAAAAAAAAATCCTTATTAATAACTACTCTATTTTTTTTTTTATAAAGAAGACAACTCAGCTTTACTTTTGGTAATAAACATGAAAATGAAATTTCAATAAGTAATATATATTTTAATAATTTTCTTAAAAGGGTGACGTGAGATTTCAAAAAATAATATATTGATAGTATTTTTGTTTCAAAGAAAAAAAAAAAAAAGCGTGAGCATGACCGTGGAAAAGTCGTAAAACGTGGAAAGGAGGTGGTGGATGGAGGCGGTGGCAATGCGGCCGGGAGTATGACAAGAGCAAAATTATGAGCAGAAAGGGCTTGGGTTTGGTTTGATTTGGTGTGACTTCTGCAATGAGAAGTTATCGGTTCCGTGCTTCGAAAAGTTGCCTTTCCTTGAATTTAGCCCTTCGGCTAAGTGGTTTTAGTCACGTTTGTAAGGTTCGTATCTCCCTTCTCCAGAGTAACGGTTTGAGTCGACTCATAACAAAAATGTTCAAAAAAAAAAAAGAAGTTACATTTTCTCGGTGCTCGTAACTTCCTCTCCTTACCTTACACACCATGCTACCTAAAATTTCCATTAATTAGGCCTATATATATTTTATGATATAATGATAATTTTTTAATATTATTTTTTATATAAATTTTACATATTATTAAATGGATAGATATATTTAACATTATAAATTTTAAATAAATTAAAAAAGATTAATTATTAAAATAACTTATAAAATAATATAAACAAATAATTAAAAAATTATCTTTATATTATTTTTTTTAAAGATAAAGTAATTGATTGAAATCTTTATAAAAGAAAACAGCAAGAAATATATAAATGAGAGTTTGAATTCTAATTGTATAAGTAAAAAATATTTTTTTAATAATAATTTAATCAATTACTTTACTTATTTTTTTAAAATTAAATTTATATTTCTTTGTGGTTTTCTACACATTATACGAACATATTCTTTCTTGTTAAATTTCTGAGTCATTCATGCTGTCCGCCTCAAGCAACTTTAAGGAAAAATTCAAACTTCTCAACAATAAGATTCCTGATATGGGCATCCAACCCATACAAGGTGTGGTGTGGTCCGTGTGGATGATTAAATGCAAAAGTAAGAACCGGCAACCATATTTATTGAAATTTGAAGCACATCTGGAGCCACACCACATCATATGACCACTGCAATTTCAAAAAGGTCATGAAGCGATTCATTAATACGAAGGCCTCTCATTAATTAAGGGGCTTTTTACGTCAGGACTCACGTCGTCATGTTGGTGGTTCGTAGCGCAGTTGTGCTGGCTTTTTGGTGTTTTAGGTATTTACAATTAAAGTGATTTAAATTAATTTTTATATATGTTGAAATTCATTTTTTTTAGGTAATTTTAAAGGTGTACTTTATACAATTAATGCAGTCATGCTGCTTTTGCTCATGGAATATAAGCTACTTTGTTCCTCCTCTCATTTTGGCCTTTCAACACCCTTCATGTCAAGTATGCACCGTGACTCCAAGCCAGCTTCCAAGGAGTACAGAAGGTGCTCAATTCCATTCCACTCATTAATCTCCAGATAAGAAGGAAAACAACTCTATAGAAAGGGATAAAGTGCCCAATCCATTATGATGCGTGATAAAAGAGTTAGAGTAAAGCTAGAAGGTTAAATGCTAAATTTAGTCTCTCAACTTTATAAAATGCACATTTTTGGTCCCTTAACAATTTTTTACATTTTTTTGATCCCTTGACTCTAAAAATTGTATAGTTTTGGTCCCTCCATCAATTAAGTATGATGTAGCAGTTAAATAATTTCATGTGGCATTGTTTTTTAATTTTTTTGATGATGTGGCACTAATATATATTATAATTATGTTATATAAATAAATAAAAATGCCAATAGATTAATATACATATTTTAATTAAAAACATATAAAATTACTTTATTACCCTCATCCTCACCCTCACCCTCCCAATCCCTCTTCTTCCTTTTCTTTTTTCCTCTTTCTTTCTTTCGGCTTCGGTGGAAACCCAGCCTTGCTGGGTTCGTCGACCAGCAAGGCTGGGTTCATCGGAACCTAGCAAATTTGGGTTTCGACGAACCCAGCAAGGCTGGGTTCAGTGGAAACCCAGCCTTGCTTGGTTCACCACCAGCCAAGGCTGGGTTCGCCGGAACCCAGCAGATTTATTGGGTTCGGACGAACCCAACTTTGCTGGGAAAGCTTGGTTCTTGTTTTTTTGTTCTTCTTTCGATTTCCATTTGCAGTTGTTAATATATTTGGAGATTGATTTATAATTTGATTGCATTTTTGTTGGAATTTGATTAAAATTTGATTGTATTTTTGTTGAAATTCGATTTGAGTTTGATTGGTATTGTTTATTGAAGGGTTATTTTGATTTGGTAAGATCTGTTAGGTTTGAGGTTTCAATGAAACCCAGTAGCTCAAGTTTTCCCGAGAAAAGAGAAGAAGAAGAAATGGGTGGGTTAAGATCGATTTTGTAGATGGAGTGGAGATGAGAGAGCATTCACGGAAGAAGAAGAAATGGGTTAAGATCGATTTTGCAGAGGGTGAAGATGAGAAACCAGTTTGCAGGTAACTAGAATCTATTTGAGGGGTTTGGCGTGAAGAAGATGACATGTCATAAAAAAAAAAAAAATCCAGATAAGCATCTTTTTAAGTTGTGTTCACCATGTCATCAAAAAAAATATAAAAAATGTCATGTGGCTAAGTTAACGACCCAAATTGACAGAACGATTAACGAAGTGCATTTTGTATAGTTGAAGGATCAAAAAAGTGCAAAAAATTGTTGAGGGACAAAAATGTACAACTCACTAAAGTTGAGGGACCAAATTTAGCATTTAACCAAGCTGGAAAAGCACAAGGTTAAACCCCTATTTAGTCCCTGAACTATTATATAGACCCCCGATTTGGTCCCTGAACTAAAGAAATTCCTAATTTGGTCATTGAACTATTGTACGGACCCTGAGTTGGTCCCTAAACTATTGTACGGACTCCGAGTTAATCCCTAAACTATTATACAAATGTCCAATTTGGTCCCTACTGTTTACCAATTTAACCCCAACTTGGTCCTTCCGTTAAATAATAGCTCAGGGACCAAATTGGGGCGAAATTGTAAACAGTAAGGACCAAATTGGGGGTTCATACAATAGTAGGACCAAATTGGGGGTTCATACAATAGTTCAAGGACCAACTTAGGCCAAATTATAAACAGTGGGGACCAAATTGGGGTCCGTACAATAGTTTAAGGACCAAATCAAGGATTTCTTTAGTTCAGGAACCAAATCAGGGGTCTGTACAATAGTTCAGGGACCAAAATGAGGATTTAACCAAAACACAATACCAAGAGGTCACCCTTGAGAATTTCAATAAGTGCGTACGCTGCACTTGATTACTTGAGTTGAGGCTAGGGAATGGCTGAATAAAGTTTATAATGGTCTTTGAATGTCATACAATTTTTTTGGGGGGTTTTAGAGCTTTAGTTGAGACACAGATATTATAACATTTTTCAGTCAATTCAGCTAATTTTTACATTTCTTTCATAATTTTTTTACAAGAAATGAAGCAACCAAATCAATCAACTTGTGTACGTTGGAATTTTTTCCTTTGGATGCATAATGATCGGCCAGTTGTTTCTCGTTTGCTAGTTGTACCTGAAAACAGATAAGTTGAATGAAGTTTACTACCAAATTACTTGGCAAAAGGGAAAGGAAAATAATGTAGAAGCTAATGCTACAATGCATGATAACACAACATTGGAAGGTCACTTAAAGAGCAAACTTCATATGGAATTGCTAGTAAATAAATAGTTCAACTCAATGAGACAAAACGTTCCATGAAACTCCAAGAAGAATGGCTCAAACTACCAAAACATAGAAATTATTTAGATTTGAGAACATGGTAAGTCATGTGTTACAAACGACTAAAGCTATGGCTCGCCTTCTGATGATTCAAACTTTAATACTTTTTCCAAATAAAAATGATTTAAACTTGTTCATAGAAGACTAGCTTGAGACTATGAAAGATGCCTTCATTTCTAGTGGCATGCAGAATGCCAGAATACATGCCTATGTATAAGACGAATCCAAGTTTCCTTGTAGCTGAGTTTGAAATACAAATAACTGTACAAATATAGTAATTGGCTATCAGTGACATTAATAACATATCAATGATTGTCACAATGCAAGCAGTTTATGCCATACCTATAATGCATGCTAACTATTTTCCTATTTTCTTCCAAATTTTGTTAGAAATTATTTGAAAGGACATATAGTTCCACCATTGTCAAAAGAAAGTAGATGGGAGAGGTTTCAAGACTTGATTTACAAGAGAAAAAAAAAGAGAAAGCTTTTATTTATCATTTCTAGCTTAAAGCATCAAATTCAATAGTCCTACCAAAGATACAATAAGTTGATGATAAAAATGATTCTAAAATTCATCAAACTATTACCGATGTTCTTTTTCTTTTTTTCTTTTTTCTTTTTTTTTTTTTTTCTAAATGAAAAACATAAACCAAAAGGCAAAGAATTGTCTACAAGTAACAAATTATTTATTAAGAATACATGTAAGCAGTGATTCCAACTACTCGGAAATTAGAAAGAAAGCTCAAAGCAGACATTTTGACTTCTCGAATGAAATGAAGATTTTAAATAGCCAAAACGGGCAAAAGGCATGACTGGATGGTTCAGGGTGGATTGCAATGCAGCCTCCTAAACCCAACAAATGAAAGGAGTTACATTTGCTCTTAGTCAATCCAGTACAAAGTAGGTAACAGGAGATAAGCTAACAGGGTAAATGAAGACCATGATTGTCACATTAAATATCCAAACTTGTGGCAAGTCCTTGTAGTATGAGTGTATGACTACTACTACCACAACAGAAGATTAATCTATGAACAAGAGATCAAAATTTATTAATTTAGAAGACTAAAACAAAAATAACATTATTTCTTATTTTTCTTCAAAGAAAAAAATTGTATGGAAATGAAATGCAAGCATTTTGCAAAGTAAACTGATTTCACTTGAAAAAGGAATAAAACGAAGGGAACAAACACCAAATACCAAAAAAATATGTTTTTTCTACTTCAACCCACGTCCATGGCATTTAGAACTTGAAAGACGATGTAAAATGTTGAAAATGGGGAGCTTTCTTTCCACCATCCATGGCAGTTGTTCCTATGTCGTAATTGTTGAAATTTACTCATCACACTTATTACCATGTTGACAAAAGGTTTGACTACAAGAAGAATTCCTCCAGCCTATTGCTAGACATGGTACCACCCTAAAGAAGTCTTAATTCGGCTTGTTCACATTTGCCTAAGTGAGTTTACAGCTCAAATTGGTGAAATGTTCACCCGGTCTAAGAATCAAATTCTCAATTGATAACAATTAATTCATATTAATTTTTTAATCATTACTCTTGTAAAAAGAAAAAAAGTGAGTTGACAGCTCTATAAATAGAGTTGGGTACAAGGCAGAAGAAGCAAGCAAACAACAGAAATTAAGAAGAGTTAAATGAGTGATGGAGTGCTCTCGTGAGAGAAAAATAATGAGATAATTTTTGTAAAAATTAAGAGAGAGTAGTAGGAACAATTTAAGAGATGTTATATATTAAAATTAAGATGTTGAGAGTTTTTGGATGAAGAAATTTTTATATTTTTATATTATTTTTTTAATAATTGATTTATTTTTTTCTCTTTTTTTATACATACATTTATTTAAAAATATACAAATCAAATCATATTTTTTTTAT